TTTCTATTCTCCTCCTCGAAATATGGCCTGAACGATAGTGCCATAATTTCGACAATGCATCGTGAGCTCTCTTATGCCACCTTTTCCAGATTAACACTCTGTGACCAGCTGCTTTATCAGCTAAGTGTCATGTCTTTGAAGGGTCAGTGAACTGACTCTTTATTCTATCGAGGTACTCGGTGACCGTGTCACATTATGGGATTGAGCCCATAATTGCATGTTCAATCATGTTCTTTATCACAGCCAAACATTTCTTGTTTGCAGTGACCCACTTTCTATGCTCCAAAGCCATAGGACATCTTTTGGGATTTAAAATCCCTTTCTTTAGTTGTCCAAGTGGCATCATTCTCTTTTGTCTCCCTCAACGGTGCTACAATCTCAGTGGAACACGGTGAGGTGACTACCCAGTCCCATCAGCCAAGATGAAAACCAGGTCAAACTTTTTCTTAACATATAAATAACACAATTTGCACGCCTTGATTCCAACGTTGGTCAAAATCAAAACATACAACTATTCTTATGCACTAATTCTACATCACCGTTGGGCAGAAATAGAATTAATGCATAAATCATTAACTTTCACAATTGTTCTTACACACTAATTCTACATCACCGTTGGGCAGAAATAGAATTAATGCATAAATCATTAACTTTTACAACTGTTCTCATACACTAATTCTACATCACCGTTGGACAAAAGTAGAATTAATGCATAAATCAATAAAATTATCAACTTTTCTTATACACTAATTCTACATCATCGTTGGACAGAAGTAGAATTAATGCATAAATCATTAAAATTATGATATTGTTAGTCAGAAAATAACAACATCATAATCATGTCAAATCTCTTTTTCTCCAATTAAATACCACATTGGTTAAAAAATAACTAGAGAATCAACAATTTCTTTAGCTGTAGAAAAACTTTCTTTTTCTCCAATTAAATATCACATTGGTTCAAATAACTGGAGAATAAACATTTTTCTTTAGCAGCGAAAAACTCTTTCTCATTTCATGAATTTTACCCACAGGGAAAAATTACTTTTTCTATTTTCTTTGAGCTATTTTTTTCATTTTCCAGAAATTAGCAATTACTGGAAAATAAAAAAGAAAAACTGATCTTGATTCTTTCACTGTTTTCGGCCCAATCGGCAAAAACGGCCCACAGCCGCGCGCGCGCTCCCCCTCGCCCAGGCCGCAACCTGGGCCTGGGCCAAGAAAGTGGCCTCACGCCCTCGCTCGCCTGGGCCAAAAGGTGGCCCGGTTGATCTGCGCCATTGGAGCCGATCGGACGGCTGCGCGACGTCTTCGGGCGAACAAAACCGCCCCCGACCGCGGTCCCCGAACCCTAGCGGCCGTTCGGCCTTCTCTGCTTCTCTCTCTTCGTCGCCGCTCTCTCCTCTCTCTACCTCGGCATAAGCAGCAGGCCGACGAAAGTGAGACGAGCAAGCGGCGATAGCCATGCGCGCCGTTCTTGCCCCCCCTTCGCCAAGACGTGCTCCCCAACGGGTGAGCACGCCGCCGTCGAGCGGCCTGGCCGTGGCGCTTCCTTGGCCGAGCCCGACGAGCCAGCTTCCCCGGCTCGGCTTCTTCTCCCACGCCGGCGAAGGGACATCCCGACGCACGGCGAGGTAGATCCACCCCTTCCCCTTTCGGATTTGTATTGATCTTTCTTTCTTTTCGGAGTTCATCCGAATGGGAAACTAGGGTTAGGGTTAGGGTTTCGACCCTTGTGCTTTTCTCTTCTTCTTCCCCAATCGGATATAGATCTTGTTTGCTTTTCTTTGTTTGACCGATTGGGGTTAGGGTTCGTGTGCCGACCCCTTTTCTTTGTTCTTTTTCTTTTCGCTTGATCACCCGAAAAGAAGATCTAGGGTTAGGGTTCGGTTGAACCCAATCTGTATTTTCTTTTTGTTTGATTCGAGATCGAGATGCTAGGGTTCCTTTTCTTCTTCCCCTTCGGATTTGCTTTTGGATCTTTCTTTCCGTTTCGGAGTTCATCCGAAATGGGGATCTAGGGATAGGGATTCGTTTTTTTAATTTCTTTTCTTTTCGGAGTTCATCCGAATGTCTTCCCTTCCCCTTCTTCCCCTTTCCAATTCTTCTTTTGGGATTAACCCGATTTGGGATGGGGTTACAAATTAGGGTTAGGTCTTAGGGTTCGGCCAAATCCAAACCCACCCTGCTTCTTTCTACTGTTTCTCTTCTCGTTGAAGGCTTTTATGGGTTTAGGGTTTGGCCTCGTGTGCCGAGGGCTCGTTCTAGGGTTCACTGTTCTTCCCCGAGACTCATTCGCGGGTTAGGGTTAGTGAACCCCTTCTCTGTTCAGATCCGTAAGGAACTCTTTTCTTTTCTTGCCGCACCGGCACTTTTCCCCCGCGCGGTGGCGGTGGTGACCGAGGTTCCAGTGACGTCCGCCACCCCCGGTCCCTTTTCCGTTTCTTTTACCCGGTTAGGGTTAGGGTTACACAGAGGCAACCTGGCTCCGATACCATTGTTAGAATCGATGATTACCTCTCTGTGTGACCGTAGATCCGGGTAGATCTCTGCTCTGGGTTCCTCTTCACGCCTGGCTGCAGCCTCGCGGACGCCGGTACTTGGCACGGTGGTGAGGAGCGCGAGGTGGCGATGCCGTGGAGGTCCAGAGGGGACTGTGGTGACCCTGCAGAGGCAACGGCGGTGGTGGCGGGCTCATCCCGTCGCTGGCAGCACGCTTTATGATCGGATTAGGGTTTTCTCTGTAGGTGGGTGACGGCTCCGTTCAACCTCGTGACCCGAGCCCAGTTCCCCACTCCTATATATATATGTGCTGTGCGACAGGGGCTCACCAACCAGTTAGGGTTGGGCTCCCCCGATCAGAGAGCAGAGACAAGGGTCCAATAAACCGTTGGTGGAGATCAACTAACATTGCCAGCAATGTCGGCTGAGTGATAGAGGCTACATTATGAAAAGAAACAATCTAGAGTCGCTAGACCTGAAGGCAGAGCTATCTTGCTTTGAGCATTTGAAGCCCGGCTGCCCCGGCTTCAATCCAGCGATCCACCTCCATCTTGATGATCTGGAGCAGGTCAACGATCGAAGCGGATGAGTTGTGAAAACACCTCGCATTTCGTTCCTTAGAGATCAACGCGAACAGCGAGTCCAACCCCTTTAGTTGCTGACCATTGGCTAGCCCACGCAATCGTCGCCACTAGGCCAGAGTTGAAGGCGTTCCAGGCCAAGCGCTTGTAGCGCGTAGTGCCAAATTTCCCTTGCGAAAGGGTCGTAGCTACTGGGTGACGAAATGGATAAAGGGTACTGTCAATAAGCCCGATCTATTGTTTCTTGAGCTTGGTCGCAGAGGTAGCATTGTTCTCTTGCTTCCAGCCCATGTCTCGCACGCCTATCTGCTGTCCAATGTCTGCGCCGAGCTGCCAGCCACAAGAAGATCCTTACTCTCAGCGGTGCCCAGGTTTTCCCAACCAGCCGATGGCCGCAGAATGTGGTGGCGCCATTGTGAAGCATGCTGTAATCCCACCTCAGTGCTAGATCCGCCCCTTAATTAATAAAACAATAATAATTCTCTGCATAACAAAAAATTTTACCTTTCCTCTGTAGGCCGATAGAATCTGTGCGGCAAGAGCTCCAAACATGGATCTTTCAAGAAAAGAGCTCCAAACATGGAAGAACTCCATTGTCGTTTTGGCCTTAAAAAGTGGCCTGCAAAACACCCAACAACGGCCGAACCACTGCAAAAGTGCAGTAGCATATAAAGGCTACGCATTGTCGAATACATTGCGCGCATGGCATGCTCCTATATATAGTTGAACGTTTTCTTCCAGGTAACAGGGGCGCAATAATCAGGCAATCAGCTCAAGCGTCTTCAGACTGGCTGTGGCTGTGGCAACGCACAATGGGAGAGAATCAGAGAATGATGTGGTCCCAATCGCTGCAGCTCAAAAGGTGAAAATGTTTTCGTCAACCAGCTCAGCTGCATCGCTGCCGCATTGAAGCCCGAGGGTAGCTCAAGTTCTCTCTTTCTCTCTCGCGCGGAGGGCTGCGCATCATTTCGTCTGCTTGTTTTGTTCCTCCTATTCTATTTACAACCTGATAATTTTGTGAAAGCCTTTTTTTTTCTTGCAATCATTTCTATGTACATATTTCTGCATTTCTATTTAAAGGCCATCTGTGCATACAAATTCCTTAACGGCACATCGGGTAGGTAAAGCATCTTTAGACCCTCAAATCAAGGTCTATATTTAAAAATTGTAGGGGTTTTCTTACTTCCTGTTTATGATCAACTCCAGTAAAAGGTCTATACATTGCCCAGTCTGCTCCAACCATGCATTGGTTCTTTGGAGTTGAGGCAAACAAATCTAATGACTGTCAAAAGAATTTGCACTTGTTTGATATTTGTTGGACTGTGCGAGTGCGGCCATGACTATGTAAAAAAGAGAGCATTTGTTTGGTATTTGTGGACTATATATGTGAAGGCAGCTATGATTTAAATAAAAAAATACATTTGTTTATCCAATTACAGTTGCTTACCGTGTCGAGTAGGATGTGTGTGAATGGTAGTTTCAGAGAATGGAAGTGCATTCCTCTGTTCACCTTGCTTGGCTCCATGAGTTGAGAACTCTGAAATGGGAGCTCCGACTGTATGCTTCAATGGACTGAGAAGGGCCCGCGTCTCCGCGTCCGCGGTCGGGTATCCCAGCCCAGCAGGCCAGCAGGCCAGCAGGCCCGGGCCGGCCCGGTAGGTGGAGTCGCACATACTCCTACTTCGTACAGTACAGTCACACTTGCCCGGCCCCTCAGCGTTGCCTTGTCTTCACCCCAAGTCACTAGCGGACGGGGCTTTGGACCCATCGCCCACCGCCAGTACCAACCACTGTCCGGCAGGCTGTCGTCGTCCACCGGCCGGCAGGCGGCAGGCACTGGCACTTGCGCATCGGATCACATCAACTGCCGCTGCTGTCCAAGTCCAACAAGCAACGATTCCCTTTCCTTCCACTCCCCAAATGTCCGCGTGCCCGGCACCGGCAGTGGCCACCTTCCTCCTCGTCGCCCTTCTCGCGTGCTGCTGCCAGGCCGCACGAGCCATCCGGACGCACGGCGGCGGCGGCTATGTCTCCGCGGTCGGGGACCCCGGCATGCGGCGCGACGGCCTCCGCGTGGCCTGGGAGGCGTGGAACTTCTGCAACGAGGTCGGCCAGGAGGCCCCCGGCATGGGCAGCCCCCGCGGCGCCGACTGCTTCGATCTCGGTCCGTCTCCCTCCCTCGTCCCGTGCACACATTAGAATGAATCGCCGATCCCGCGCTTCTCCCCGGGGTGGCCGGTGGGTCGGTTGCCATGCCACCAAGATTCGATTCGGTTTTCTGAGGACGACGGATTGCATGCGTGAATCTTTCTTCCGCAGAGACGAGCTCCGATGAGCACGGGCAGCCAGTGTACTCGGTGGCGCACCTGGTGAGCGACGCCGACAACAGCCTGGGCGCGGGCGACCCGTTCCCGGGGTCCCCGCCGGGCGCGGCCCGCATCACCGACGCCGACCTCTACGCGCCGGCGAAAGAGCTCTACCTCGGCGATCGCTGCCAGGTGGCCGACACCCCGGCGCCGTGGCAGTTCTGGATGGTCATGCTCAAGAACGGCAACCTCGACACCACCGCCGCCATATGCCCCGAGAACGGCCGCCCCGCGCGCCCGTTCCCGCAGACGTCCCGCTTCCCGTGCCCCGGTGGAGCCGGCTGCATGAACCAGCCGCTGGTGTTCCACAACCGCACCGCGCTGGACGACGCCAGCCGCTGGCTCCGTGGCGGCCTGTTCGGCACCTACGACCTGGACGCCGACAACCGCCTCGGCGCCGACGACGTGTCGTTCTACTCCGTGACGTGGGAGAAGGAGGTGGCGGCGACCGGCGGCGGCGGGTGGGCGTTCCACCACAAGCTGCGCACGTCCAGCAAGTACCCGTGGCTGATGCTGTACTTGCGCTCCGACGCCACCAGGGGGTTCTCCGGCGGCTACCACTACGACACCAGAGGCATGACCAAGCAGGTGCCGGAGTCGCCGGACTTCAAGGTGCGGTTGACCCTGGAGGTGAAGCAGGGCGGCGGGCGCAACAGCCAGTTCTACCTGATGGACATGGGCAGCTGCTGGAAGAACGACGGGCGCGCCTGCGACGGCGACACGGCGACGGACGTGACCCGGTACAGCGAGATGATCATCAACCCGTCGACGCCGGGGTGGTGCTCGCCGTCGCGGATCGACCAGTGCCCGCCGTGGCACACGTTCCGGAACGGCAGCCGCGTGCACCGCACCGACGGGGCCCGCTTCCCCTACGGCGCCTACCACGTGTACTGCTCCCCCGGGAACGCGGCGCGCGCGGAGAAGCCCACCACCTACTGCGACCCCTACAGCAACCCGCAGGCGCAGGAGATCCTGCAGCTGCTGCCGCACCCCGTGTGGGGCGAGTTCGGCTACCCGACGGCGAAAGGGCAGGGCTGGATCGGCGACCCCAGGGCGTGGGAGCTCGACGTCGGCGCCATGTCGCACGCGCTCTACTTCTACCAGGACCCTGGCACGCCGCCGGCCAGGAGGCAGTGGACGTCGCTCGACGTCGGCACGGAGATATACGTCAGCGACAAGGCCGAGGAGGCGGAGTGGACGCTCAGCGGCTTCGACGTCCTTGTGCCGGACAAGTGTATCAAGTCACAGCAACAGGCCACCAACAGCTGCTGGTAGATTGCTTAGCAGGCCAAACCGCCAAAGTGTTAGTATTTTTCTTTATTTTATTTTATTTTATTTATATCTACAATAATACAAAGAAAGGGTGAAAGTGTTATTGCTCTCACTCTCCCAGATGGCATTTGCTTGCAAGCAACGCCTCATCTGGTATGATTAAAGAAGCAAATTCTAGTTTAAAAAAAATAATGAAGAGGAAGCAATTCTAGTTGAAACTTGTAAGAAATATGTACATCCTTATGCCGTATGGATTCCGCTGATTCCTAGCGCCCCTGCACACTGTAGCGTAAGGATTCCGCTAATTTTCAGCACACATTGGCCCTGTTTGATACAGTATCTCTGGGAAGCTTTTCACATATAAGCTGCACAAATAAAATAAAAGCGGCGGTCAAAATAAACTGGCTTGATCCAGCTTCTGCTTTTTAGTAGAAATGGAAGCTGTGGGAACCAGTATGGTCAGAATAAGCTGCTGAAAAACGTAATATTTAGCTGTTGATTTTAGCTGGCCATAAGCATACGCTTGCCTACCGCGTGTGCTTGCGTCCGCTGCAAACTTCGGTCTTCACGCGGTGCAAAAGGAGTCCTCCGTGTGCGTCCAAAAAATCAAGTCCACCAGAACCCTCCACGCGTCTGTGCTTCCCAGGTCCCAATCCTCGCCTCACCTCGGCTTCCTCCACCGTTCACCCAATCTTCCTCGGGCCCTTGCGCCCCTCACACTCTTGCGCTGCGCCCCAGCAGATGCAACGCCGTCGTCTCCGCCAGCTCGGTTCACGTCGACAGCCGCCGCCCTCGACCATCTCCGCCACCATCTACATGTGCCGGATCCTATCGATCGATTTAGACCCGGTGTCGCCCTCCCAATCCTCATTCTCACGCCGCACATGGACGTCGTCGTCTTCGTGGTCGGGGCCACCACTCGGCACGGGGATAGAGGTGCGGTGTACCATGAGGGGTGTGATAGGAACACAGGGTACCTCTGAAACTTTTCAGAGATCAGGGATAAACATCTTACTTAGATAGAGAAACTGATTCCTCTACTTCGTTTTGGCGCAGTTGCGCCGCAACTGTGTGAACGTCAGTGTCGTGGGAGCTCGGCGCGGTGGAGTCCAGCGTAGTGGTGGCGATGCAGAGGAGACGGTGACGTGAGGTGCCGTGGTCCGGTGGTGATGGCGAAGTCAGTGGGTCTTCCCGTCGCTGGCAGCACCATCTTTTGGCGCAGTTGCGCCGCAACCGTGTGGACGCCGGTGTCGTGGGAGCTCGGCGCGGTGGAGTCCAGCGTAGTGGTGGCGATGCAGAGGCGACGGTGACGTGAGGTGCCGCGGTCCGGTGGTGACGGCGAAGTCAGTGGGTCTTCCCGTCGCTGGCGGCACCCTCTTTAGATCGGTTTAGGTTTTTCTATTGGTGGATCACGGCGGCTCATGTCAACCTCGTAGTTAGAGCCCTGGTCCTATCTCTCTTTACGGGGGCAGTTCGCTGGTCTGGTTTGACTAGCCAGCCGGCTGCTCCCCCTCTCAGTCTACTGTTCATCAAACCAGCCGAACAGTATTTTTCTCTCGCAACAATTCAGTTGAAACAGTATTTTTCAGCCAAATTTCAGACCAGCGAACAGAACCATAGTGTTGTGCGACGGGGGGCCACCGTAGTGGTTGTACGCCCCCCCCATCGTGACGTAGGCCCAACCTATTGGCGTCGATCAACTATCAGGGTGGCGTCCGTCAAGCACCTCCTTGCCGCTCCCGCCCGCTGTGGCCGCCGTCGTACACGACCTGCTCGAGATGGATGCCATCAACACCGAGAAGATGTGAGATTTGGTGGCGTGTGCTGAGGGCCAACGGCAACCGAGCCCATAGATCCAATCACGTCACGCCGGCTCCACCGCCGAAGCATGTGGTTAATGGCGTCGAGATGCTTGCCTCTGCTGTAATGCAAAGTTGCAAACGCTCCTGCCTGCCATACGCTACTCTGGATCCCACAGCCAGCGTTCCTCATTAGTCCCAGATAATCAAGAAATTTGGTATGCTTCTTCCTCTCTCTCTCTCCTTAGCTGTGATGTTAATCAACTCCTATCCGTGCAGTTGTCTTCATTCTAATCTGCTTGTGTAGCTTCATGGTTCAAAATGAATTACTGTATTGGCAATTCCTTCAAAGGACTACTTAATATGGTTCAAAATACTGACCTGCCTAACACTGAATTTTCACCCTTTTTTATCAAACACTTATTTTTCACTATATGTGTGTTTATGAGATCTATAGCGGGATTGACAAAATCTGTTATACAGCTGACAATATGGCAAGTAACAACCATTTGTTACGCTCTGTGGAATGCACGTATCTGAGATGTGTTTTTCAGATCCTGTTCTCCTGTTGCCTAAAGGGTTCACCATGTGTATAATATTTAACTTCTAATTTTGTCACTGATGTTTTTTTCCCACTTTATTTCTGCTACATAGGTTAGAGATGATCTCATCATGTCCCATCTGTAATATACAGTCTTACAGTTGAGCTGGCATGGTGATGGCTGATTCTTCTCCTTTCGTCTACAGCTAAGCATCTTCTCTGTGTTTTTTTTTTTTTTACGAAAATCTCCTCTGTTTTTTCATTGGCCTTATACGTGACACAAAAATAGCTTATGCAATGTTTTAACTAATCATTTGTACGCATGCCAATAGCTACTTTGATGACGATCAACTTCAAAGGGACATGTCAAGTCACAGATGTTCTAACAGGGAATCCAAGCCTGATGAAATAATTAATACAAGCAGGTAATGCATTGTTGCTGTCATGGCCATCCTAAACGCCTATTTTTAAAAATTGCAACCGTAAAATGTCATTAGTACAGAGGTTGCCATGGTGGTCACATGCAAGATGCACATGCCTATAGCAAGCACATAGGGAACATGAAGATGCCGGCTTCAACATTTTACTTTCTACCCAATTGAACTGACCATTAAGTTCGATCGCAACATGCCTTCCATTTGTACCTGCCATCCACCAACTAATACAAGGTTACCTCATGTTTTTTATACTTGATGGCAGCTGATGTGTTTAGCTTTAGATAATGAAGGCTCGAATTGCAACGTCCAGTCTTGATGGTGTCAAGGTTCAACGGTCAGATGAAGGTGTTGATTTTGTAAAATTTTATAGTGTTCCAATTGGGTTCCTTTCAGGTCGTAGTTGTGCTCTGTATGTCTTCAAAATACACACTGGCTATGTAAATTAATAACTACATATTTGTGCTCTGTTCATATGAGCATGTCTTGCAAATATGCTCTGGCTATGTAAATTAACTATAAATCAAAACATTTCACAAATTCTCCGACTCAGCGCTGAGTGATCGTCTATGTAAACATCATCTGACATGGCATTCCGTCCTAGTACTAGTAAACAGACAATGAGACAAGTCTGCTTGCGCCGTCTAAATTCTTTAGGACAGCTGCTACTTTCAGTTGCATGTGGTAAATATATATATTGTTCTAACATGTTGATCAGAATCAAGTATCAAGGGGGAAATGATTCCATATGGTTAGTATACTGGAATTACTTGTTCTAAAATGATGCTGATGAAGTTTCTGAATAAAGTTTATTTTTTCTAAAAAAACAGCAAACAAACATGAAAGAACTCTCCTGACCACAGGACGGCAAGTGCAAGAATACTAAAGTAAATACCGAACAACACAAATTATGGGCGAGGCACCTTGGATGCATTATTATTTTACTCTTTTTTTTGGAGAAACAGAAACCTGTAGCTCCTGTAAACGACCCAAACATGGGCAAATCTACTGCAAAAAGGCAGTAACAGACGAGGGAATACATTGCCGTATATATTGGACATAATGTGTACAGTTGACTGTTTTCTTCCCAAAGTAACCAGGGCAACACATTGAGCCAAAGAGAGTTCAGATGAATGACCTACCACTCCGGCAGCAGCTCAAAAGATGGAAAAGTTTCGATCAACTAGAGCAAACATCTAACTCTGGGGCTCCTCAGCTACTGAACTGCATGGTTCTTCCACATAGCCAATGGCAAACCAGGGCCAGCAAAACAAGCTCAAAAGCACGCTAATTTTGCTGTTTCTTCAAGTGATGCAAAGTCCTGCTTTGAGCAGACAAATTCCACAGGTCTTCATGGAACGTTCCTATTTCACTACAAAAAAGCATTGCTGAGCACCAAAATCAGACGTGATGGCACTTTCATGAATATCTGTGGATTCCAATGTTGAGGTCTGACGATATGGAGGTCAGATATGGCAATGTTTGATGCCAAACAGCTTTGAACACTCGCTTTTGATGTGCCTGAACAGACTGGCAAGGATTCTGGCCATGATGCCTGATGTCGAAGATTTGGATCACAGGATCTGCTGAACCAGACGACACGTACCAGCCATCTGGAGACCATGATTGGTTAATCAGAGCTGACTGAGACTCACTGCTCTCTTGCTTCCAACCAAATGCATGGACCTCAGTTTGCCTAAGCCTGACATCAAACAAGCGCAGCTGTCTGCCTGGAGCCCTGTTAGCACAAAGAAACAGACAAGACTGTTTAAGCATGCACCCCAAATATGAATAGAGCGCTACTGACAAACATTGCACATAGAACATCGCGTAATCACTATATATATCAATCAGTGAAAGATTTTCTTTATAAAACATTATTATAAAACTACAGCTTGAGCAGTATATTAAACTTGTAAGTTATAATGCAAGAATAGGTTAGGATTACCTCAAGGGTTAAAGATAACAGCAACAAAATCAACCCACTATTCCAGAAACATTTTTTTTTAAATTTCACTTACCCTGTCTGCACCATATATAAGTTGAAATCACATGGATTTGCTAATACACTCATGCATTTGCTATCAATTAGGTTCTTGAACTCTGTCCTTCCAGCAGAGAGATCAAATCCTATTATCTTCTTGTCACAGCCAACTGATAATATTGTTTTTTTCTGTTGCAATCCAGCAACACCCATGACAGCAGAAGAATGGAAATCCTTATGCAATCTCTTGGTTTTCCATGAATCATCTTTGTCTTCCCAAATTATAACAGCATGGTCACTTCCTCCAGTTACAAAGCATGCATCAGACCAGGGCATGAAACTTATGTTATTTATGATTCCTTTTGTGTGAGGCTTCTCCGGTAGGAAAGTAACTTTCCTCTGTTTCAGTTCAGGGGAAAAATTGTGGAACACCATTTAGTAATATTTCAAGAAAGTAGATTATCTGTTACTCACAAAAATAAGGCATAGACAAGTATAGCCATAAAGTAAGGGATGGAGGAATCAATTCTTTCAAAGTTTTAAGTCATGTAACAACATATCGCACTAAGGCATTGACGCCTACACGCTACACAGTGAAACGGTAAAATGGAATGAAGGCAATCACTGACGAAAACAATTTCGGGAAAAACTAACTGAGTTATGACTGGTCGATTAAAGGTAGACCACCTCACTACCTCAGCAGCCATTCATTATTGCCATCAACATGATAGAACAAAAGAAAAAGAGCAAAGTCTAACTATGGTTTGCCCAAATTAAGTTAACACATGAGCAGGAATAACTAAAACAACCACCTCTCAAATTCCTCCCTCTAACTATTATTTCAAAATACTAATTATATGAAATCATATATGCAGAATTTGATAATTTAATCACATTATAACACTGCAGCTAACGGAATCTATATAGCCATGTAGCTAGATGTAAAGGGGTGCACAAGTTTAGACAGAGTTCTTACTTGTCCTGATATAAGGTTTGTCATTGAAACCTGAGAATCGTCATTATCAGCAGTGTATACAGCAAAAATCGTCTCACCATCTGGATGCCAAGCTATATCTTCAGGCCATCTATGCTTTGGGGAAAAGAAATCTGTTTTGCCACGAAATGAAAGAGAAGGTCTGCAAGTATAATAACGTACATTGTCAAATGGTGCTAAAAATTGAAAAGATACCTGCCCAACAATTTTACCTTTTCACTAATGCAAATTGTGTATGCAGGAATGTGCTTCCGCAACCATAAATGATAAAGTTAAAGTTACCATGTACTCAGACAATAAGTGCATCTATCACGGAGAACTATATTCTCCTTAGTACCTGCACTACTGGCGTACAAATTTAACATTGACATGCTAAATAATAACATGTGGCGGCAGTGTAGCATTTCTTCCTTCAAAAAGTAATGACATGAAACACGGATACACCAAACAACAAAAAATACACTTCCTAAAGGTTGTACCTATACTAAAATCTTATCCATTTCCAAAATCATCTTTCCATGTGACTTAAGCAAGGTTAGTGCCATGTTCCCAGTCCATGACTGGGTAAATCCACTGGGAGACTGGCCAGGTGGAGTAGGCTGCTAAAGATGAGAAAAATACAGATGCGGAACTAGATTGATTGATTCTTGCCTGCCTCCTCATGAATACATGGTTCCTTCAAATAGCCTCACAACTAACCGATGGGTATTCCTAATGTAACTAATCACTAAGAAACCAACTAACCTAGCAGACAAGATCAAGCTGTTGCTGCATGGCTTGGATGGGACATCCATGCTGCTTGCCTCACGTGTTGGGCCTAGCCAGTCCCATGATTGTTAACTACTGTACAAGATTCAGAAGGTTGATGTTATCTGATGTTAAAACAGTATATTAACCATCATGTGTGTGCCCATACCAAGTTCGTCTTCATTAAAACAATATGCTAAAATTTTACTAACATGTATTGAAGGAGAGTTGTCGGATGTTTGACCATAATGGTGTTCCCCATGGCACAATGGAAAGTGTTGGCACATCCTTTTTTTGCTACTAACTGTGCTGAACTTTTTTTTAAAAAGGAAATAAACCAACTAAAGGTTTCAGAGTAAAAATCCTGCTGGGGATACCAGCGCACAAGAAAAGTGTTGATTTTCAGTTGTGCCATAGCATTACAACATTTTGGTTGCGCGAGAAGAGAGACAAGAAAAGTGCTGAGTTTAGTATCCATGTCTCGACTAAGTGCGAGAAGAGAGACAAGAGACAAACAATAAAAGAAAGCAGAACTTGTTTTTTGTCATTTTGTGCTAATGAACTTGGCAAGGTAAGACATACTAAGGTGGGCACTTCAGTCTTAACTGCAAAAATCCACACTTGAGGTTCATAAAGTAAATACTTAAATCTACATAATTGATATCAACCCCACGTATGCATTTATTGTCTCCTTAGTGTCAATATATGATCATTTTGGGAGTGAGGCTTCAAGAATAAAGCATTGTCTAAGGCTCCTGTTGGCATAAATCTACAAAACTAATATCTGTCAAGCAAAATTATCATTAAGTACTGCTGAGTCACTCATTAAGGCTTATACAAAGTATGAATTTAAGTTTCAGGACAGATATAAGTTTTCCTTTATTCCATCACCATGTAACCATAACTACTTAAGCTGAGATCATTTGCAAGTAGGCATACACTTTACCTAGTTCATATTTCACTACAACTTTCCAGAAACTAGCGACATATCTCTTAAATATGATTGAAAGATTAGTAAAAAAAGCAGGAAATGAAAAGGAAAACATGTTGACAATTCATAGTAACATTATGCATACCCTCTTGTCTCCACTTGCCATAAAGTAACCAATCCATCCAGCGCACTGCGTCACAAGAAAGCATAAGATTAAAGTTTTGGAAATTAAGCAAACTTATCAAATCATGTTTACTCTAATTTTTTTTTTGTTCACATGCAATTTGAGATAAACAAGTAAACAAAATCATTCATTTGACAGCATGTATATTGGAACAGTGGTTGAGAACTTAGTCCAGTCATCCCAGTTTATAAATCTAAACCAGCAGCCTATACTACTGCTCACAAAACTTTGTCCAAGAAAGAAGTACAAGCAAATAGTCCAACTTAGAAGTAAGCTTGCTTTGTGAGCGGTGCTTGTAGACTGCCAGTACATAACCTTTTTTGGGTGTATTTTTGCAGGCACCTAAAAATTCTGGAGGTGGATAAACGATTTCAATGATGCCAAAGCTGAACACTAATGGTACGTGCTCCTCAGTGTACGTGTGTCATGCTCTTTTTTTGCCTACAGTTGGTGCATTCATGGTACCTATTTACTGGTATTTATTATATCCCATGAATTGTAGTACCTGATAACAACGAGCTGATCATTAGCAGGGCATAGCTCAAGACACCTAAGCTTCCTCCTGTGTTGGCTCGAGACCAAGTTGCCACCTTGAAATTTAAGCACAGTTGCAGATGATTTCTTGACATTCGGGATCAAGTTCTGATGCTCCTTCTGTTCTGCAAAACCAGATAAGCACAGCTGAGAGATGTAAATAGCACATCAAACATCAACAATGATCAAACCGCGGCTGAAACTACTTCTCCTAAGGGGAGAAATCTTTAGTAAGTACCAATCTTCCTCTTGGGCTTCTTCTCCTCTTTCCTTGACCGCTCTGGCAGCGCCCCTGATGAAGACGATGACGGGGCGGCGGCCTTCTTCAACCCAGGCATGGGCTCAGGGCGCGGGGCCGGTCGGTTGCTGGTCCCAGGGATGACAAGCTGTGGCCTCGCCAACTGCTGCGGCGCGGGCGAGGGAGCCTTCTTCTCTGGCATTGGCGGCTGCGGCGATGGCTTGAGATCCCTCTGGTTCGGCGGCGGGGATGGCTTGGGGTCCCTCTGGATTGGCGGCGTCGGTAGCTTGGGTTCCGACCGGCTTGGCGCCGGCTTGCGATCTCGGAACCTGGCGAGCCGCGACTGCGCCTCCTCCAGCTTCATCTCCGCGGTGTCCAGCTGCGGCGGCCATCGGGCATCGGGAGTTGAGAAACCCAACCAAGATCGCAACCTTGTCATCATCGCCATGTCAGAAAGGCGAGCGCGAGGAGGAGCGGGCGAGCGCGTACCAGGGACTGGTACTGGAGCAGCTTGAGCTTGCAGCGCTCGACGTCGCGCTCGCGGTGCGCGATGAGGGCGACAACCGCCTCCTCCGATCCCCCTCCTCCACGTCGTCACGCGGCGTCGGCGCCCTGGCGGCGGTGGCGCCCGGGCCATTGGAGGCGGGGCGGGGGCAGTAGGTGGAGCCGTTATCGTCCTTCTCGAGCTTGGGCCTCTTGAGCGCCGGCGGGTCGCCCATGTCGAACGCGGCGGCGGACGGGTCGAGGACAGGACAAGGGGTTGGGCAGCGAAGCGGAGCGGCCGCGCGTCTCCTGGGTGTCCGACCTCCTCTCGGGCGCCCGCGTCCCCGCGAGTCGTTGTGGGTGTATCCGGTGTGTTATCCGCGTCTCTCGCCCGCCCGCACGCACACTCAGCCCGTCGGCAAGTTTAGGGGTACGATTACAAGCCGGTTCGCCGGTGTGAAAATGACATCTGAGATTTTAGAAAAAGAAAAGGCTTGTGTCAAGCCATTTAGTAACTTCGACTAAGATTTTAGAAAACCATATGTCAGCATCTAGTCTAGAATGCCAAATAAGAAATACTAGCAAATATGTCCGTGCGTTGCAACGGAACCCAATGTATATAGAAATCCGACTCTGTATCAATGCTAGACACGAATACTTCTAACTTTTATAGCGTCAGTCACAAGTCCGGGTCATATATGAGTATGGAGGCGCAATTCCATACGTAGTCGGACCCTGCTTCCATCACTACTTGGCACAAGTTGTTCTAACTCATATGTGTATGGGTTATAAGTCCGCATGTGTGAAATAAAAGAAGCGGTACTGAAGAAACTCTCCGCTGTCCAGATAATCAGGGGAGTGGACAAAAAAAAAGGGGATGGACTGATATGTCCCCCCGGTGATTATAATGCAAGAACTCTCTCAATTTTCTATATGGTAAGCCTTGTCATGAATTGCAGTGGAACATGCGTATTCCTCGCAGCCATGTTTATTTAAACTGCATTGGATAACAAACTACCCAATATTTCAATTTACGGATTGATTAGTTGGACCATTGGCTGTCCAGATAATCAGGGGAGGGGATGGACTGATATGTCCCCCTGGTGATTATGATGCAAGAACTCTCAATTTTCTATATGGTAACCCTTGTCATGAATTGCAGTGGAACATGCGTATTCCTCGCAGCCATCTTTATTTAAACTGCATTGGATAACAAACTACCCAATATTTCAATTTACGGATTGATTAGTTGGACCATTGCCTGATCTTGATTTTTAATAAGAATTGGTTACAAACTTTATTTGCAATGAAAGAGTCAACTATTGAAATAATATAAAAAATATAAACGGACCTAACGGACAGAAAAATGGAAACTAAAAATAAAGATCCCGAGAACAAGAAAAAAGAAACATAAAATAGACCGGGAACGGAAACCCAAACAGACTTAGCCAATTAAATAAATTAAAAATTAAAAAATCGACCAGAAACAAAAAAAAAAAAGAAGAAATAAAAAATCATGAAAACCAAAAATAGGAAATAAAACCAAACTCAGAAGTGGAGAAACTTTAAACAAAAGTCTGCAGTAGAATCTGAATGCGGAACGGACAGGATTTGCGAAACAGGAAGCACTGAAGTTTATTTTTATTCTTTTCTATTTAAATTAGGATTTCTATTCACGTTACTCAGGATTGGAGAGATCTATACCTTTTTGGAATCGGACTTCGTATTGCGCTAGATAAGAGCTATCCTAACTCGTGTGAACACGGATTATATATATATGTCTGACCGGAAGAAACTTTTCATTGTCTGATAGTTAGAGGAAGACGGACACAAAATGGATTGACAAAAAAAAAATAGACTGAGATTTTGCCTTTTATTATTAGGTAATAGATTTTATGGCGGATTCATTGAAACTAATTTCATGCTACGGGCTCGTTCACCTGCCCTTAAAATCAGCCGGAGTTCACTGTTCATGGTTGAAAAACACTGTTCACCATCTCACGAATTCCTCCAAATTTCTCCCAGCGAACAGGGCTATAGTGTATTTTTCTATAAACTTGAACAGAGTGAATACGTATGCTTGAGATAAGGAAAAAAAAAGGTACCGCGCATATATTCATAATTCCATAATCCACACCAACTGCAGCTGGCAACATTTTTGCAATACAGGACTGTACGAAAATGAGCAAACAACATCGCACCAACATTACAAGTTTACAACAGCTCAAGGACCCTAGCAACAAGGGGTAACTTGACGTGGAGTGCAGTATGGATGGGTATCTGATAGACTGACTGATCAACACCAGTACACCACAGCCTCTCAAGCGCAAATCTGAACAGAGCCGGCGTAGACGATGTGGAGAAATGTTGGCCTTCTATGGCGTCTCGTCCTCATGGTACAGATACAGGCCGAAACCAAACCTCGCGCAGGCTTTGCAGAACGCGGCCTCTTCTGCCGCAGACACGGGATCGTCGAACCGTGCATCGCTCAGTGATGCTGTTCCAGCAGCCTCCCTATGAACCTGCATCAGTGGAAACAACACCAGACAGGTCTATCAAATAACTCTCGGTTTTAGTGTGCCAGTAATACATTTCATTTGACGCCTGCAAATTCAACATCTCCTTCAGAACACGAACTGCATAGCCTAAAATGTAATCGGGCATGGCCCACAGCGCAGAACCGCAGATTGTTAAAACCATGGTGCAAATTAAAGCCATCAGAACACGGACTGCATAACCTAGAACGTAACTGGGCATGGACAGTACAATGTTAAAGCCAAGGTGTCCGAGGCAGGATGAAGGGTTATGATCCAGTGCTGAATCACATAACCTTATGCCCTCTGCTCATATCATATATCATATAGTTCACTGGCACCCATGGCTAACTGAACAGACTGGGAGTTCCTTATGCCATTTTAGGTTCTCCCTGTTTAATGGTACGGATTAACATGCATGTACCAAACCACATTCTGTCTGGTTGCTGCTGCAAATAAGCTCTGGACAGCGGCGCGTTTGCAGCTACGAGGCTGTAAAAACAACTACTTTTGTGCGCTCTGTGAAAGGAACTTGGAGACAGCTATGCATCTCTTTGTGGAATGCCCCTACTCACAAGAAGTCTGGAGCCTTGTTGCGATTTGGGCTGGATGTTTAAACCTGCACCCCTCTCACTGGCTACCTGAACATGACATGGAGGACTGGTTTTGCCGGCTTGCCAATCAAGGCACTAAAAGGGCGCATACACTTGCAATCCTAACGCTTTGGTGTCTTTGGAAGCAGAGGAATGCTGTGGTTTTCAGAGATTCTAGAAGATCGACGCAATCGCTCTTCACAGAGATCAAAGATACGTGCTCCTTCTGGATCTCTGCAGGAGGAAAAGTTCTAGCTCTACCTGGTAGTTCAATGTTTAGTGAGTAATCGCTTTTCTGGTTTTTCTCCACCTACGCAGTGCTACTGCGTAGGCTGCGCCCCTCGCGCATGTAAAAGACGCTTGCCTCTGCTTACCTTGCTTATTAATATGATCAAGCCGGGCAGCCGGATCTTTAAAAAAAAATATACTTCTTACTAATGGCCAAAAAATGACACAGCAATGCAGTTATGCCTTGGGTGGGAACAAACTAAGATCGAGTAAGAATTTGGAATGGTCTGCCACTGGAATCGTTTTGACAAAACTGATGAACTAGCACTAGCAGAATTCTTGGTAACCTAACATCTATAAATCTATAATGCACAAAAAAGAGCCTCTCTTGCCTGAGCTGTCCCATGGATTTCAGGCCCAACCCCACCTATCAACTATCATCTATCCACAAAAAAAGAAAGGAAAAAATACTAAAATGTTCTTACACAATAAAGTTATAAGCAACAGCGAGATTGGTTATCCATTCAACTAATGGTCTGAGACAAATATCAATCAGTTATCACAGTTGAAGATGATAGTGGAGGTACCTCTCCATCTGTTCCGCGTACAGTCACACGGTATATGACCGTCACCTTTCCACTGTCAGTGTAAATAACATCACGGACTTCCCCACACCAACCTGAATAAAGAGAACAACCCAGTGAAATGATGAAAAGCAAACAGTTGGCACATGAAGCACAACCAGCACATTTCAAGTCGAGAGTCAGCACACAAGATCAGTGGAGCAAGGGGTTGGAGCAGTTTTACAAGGGAAAGAAAAGGAAATGTTGAAAATTCGCCTCATGATAAATGGATTTTTGCTGACACCCAAATGACAATAATCCTATGCAGCACATGTATACTACTACTACTTACTGATCCACCCTTCACGCTTCATTACAAGTTTACAACCTTTCAAGTTTCAAGCTCAATGGTGTATGTGTATGAAAGCAAGCTGCTTGGATGGGGATGCACCATGCACAATTCAAAAATAACAGGCAGAAAAATGGCAACTAGCCTCAGTTGTTACAAGAGCACATAATAAATAGTGAGTGGGCATTATCAGTAGCATGAGTTTGGATTGTAGCCTCACCTGGAGCATAAAAGCTGAGCATCCTGTTGGCATGGTACCTGTGAACAATCAGGACACGGAAGAGTTGTCAGATAAAATATGAGTATGCTCCAAGCATCACGCCTGGGTTGCTAGATCCGCCTGAATTCTGACCTAGGATTAAGATCTGCGACGCTTTAGCCCAGACCCAGCATGAGAAGAGCAAGAGAGCTAGTAACGTGGTAGGTGGGGCGGCGCACGCACCAGGGGATGACGGGGTCGGAGGCGGAGGCGCGCCGGGAGGGGGGCCGCACGATGGCGTCAGGGACGCGCTTGTTGAGGTCGCGGAGGATCTCGACGAGCGGGCGCGTGATCCCGGACGGCGCGGAGTCGAGCGGCACGACGTAGTTGGTGGTGGACGCCACCGCGCCCGGCGGCTTGCGCTCCGGCGCCGCGGCGGCGACGGCCACGCGGGCCGGGCGGCGCCGCGGGAGGGCGGCGGATGCCGGGAGCGGAGTGGCGAGCGCGCGCGCGAGGAAGGCGGAGGCGTGCTCCATGGTCTGCGGCTTCGGCGGCGGCGGGCGGCGGGGGGATCAAAGGCTGGTCAGGGGGTTGGTGCGAGTGGGACTGTGTGGAAGGGCAGTCGTGCACGTACATTGACTAGACTGATGCCGCTTCTTGCTGATCTCAACCGTTGAAAGCTCATCCAACGTAGGCAATCTACCCATGACATTTTTTTTTGTTTAATACAAATGCTGTTTCTCTTAATCCTTGCGCATGTTTTATACCAACTTGTAAATGATTTTTTCTTGCTCATGTATCGTGTACTTTAAAATTTGTTTCAGATACATGATAAAATGTATGTACTTTTGTAGCGATATCAATGGTTCCTTGACATCTATCTTAATTGAAACGGCCTTTTAATTTGTCTTTTTATCGTTTGTCTTATAGTGCATATTGAAAAAATTAGCTGGTTTGATTGTGAATGCACTCAAACATCAATAGAAGTACACTACATGGAGCTTGTTTGCATTGCAATGCACCATCTCGCTAGCAACAAGCAGCGTGTTTGGCTGGTAGACTGCATAGTAGATTTCAGATGTTTTTTTTATGATTCAATAGTATTCTGTGAGAGAGAATAAGCTGAAACAATCCATGACATGACCAGCCGAACACGCTGAAGCTATGGAAGAAAAACATCTGGTACAATTTTCAATGGCATGGACAAACAGATTTCAATGAGTAATCAAAATGCAACGAACATGAGGCTTTGACTAGGTTTATTTGGACAATGGGGATCTCGAGATGGGATGACATGGATGATGGATTTCAACCCTACTATAGACATTCAACTAGAGGGTTTATAAAAAAAATCTAATCAGAAGATGGAGGAGTTGTATGTATTAGACCTGCGGGGTTCGGTTCGAACCTTTCTTTAACACAGCCCGCTCCTGAAATATGCCATCGGGTCGCGACGGACCGAACCAAAATGATACAGGGGCACACATGATCGAACAGAACCTTCTCTCTGCATTCTAATCCCCATGCTCTGTTCTATGTGGGTGGGGCATGCCGGGCCGGGACGGGATGACCGGGAATTCGAATCCAAACGACCGGTTGGGAGTACACATCATGCAAATTGCAAAAGCAGCGAGGATTTATGCATGAATGCATCATCCGACTCAACTCTGCTACAATAGTTTTGCTCAAAAACTCTGCTACACTAGTAATGGACTCAATAGCATGTAAATCTCACTTTTTAAGATTATTAGTCGAAGTGCGAAATTCCACATATGCCTCTCCTATGTCTTCTCCCCACACACCAGAGCTCAAAAACAATTGAACTATCTCAAGTATTCATTGAAAGTTCAGAGATTTTCCAATTGCATGTGGTGTTTTTTTTTATTGGTAGTCCCATCTAGAAAACACATTTCCAATCCACGTTTACATGTATTTTGGAACTAGAATTAAACCACAGCATCACATTCTATTTAAGACTGAGGGAACAGGCAGTAGCAGTGAGCTTGGCAACTGCGCGACGAAGGGCGTGAGTTGGTCGAATATACTCCATCTGTCCCAAATTATCTGTCGTTTTTTTTTTTGTTTTCGTACTACAAGTTTGACTCAATTTGTAGAAAATACGTGCAACATTTATATATCCAAATAAATTTATTAAAAAATTAGATTCAAAAATCTTTCCAATGATACCAATTATGTTTCATAAATATTAATATTTTTAATATATATTTTATCAAAGTTGTTTCTCGAAAGACGAAAACAACAAATATTTTAGGACGGAGGGAGTAGTTAAAATGGGAATTTGACTATTGGTTTGAGTGAAATAAGATGAGATTCAAGATAGAATCAACCTGTGCAAGCTTGCCATCAATGGTTGCTACACAGCTTCAAAAGTTTTTCTAGATGACATACATTGGGCTACTACAGTTGCAGTTTGTTTGGACAGTCACAGTAGACAGCCTACAGGGCAATTCCACCATTCAGTACAATTGCACGTATACAAAAATGATACATCCAGCAACAGATGACGATCATCCGCCTCAACTCAACAGGAAATTTTAGACTCGAGCAAGCACTTTGAGAATAGGAGGCAACACAACATCTCACTCTGCGATCAGGCACCAAGCCAAGCGCTACAATCAAAACAACTGGTTTTAACAACGGTTTGTTCGCCAACATGCACGACTGTATAGTTTACAACATCTGGTTCTCTTCGCAGTACCATCTACTGAAAAAAATTGTTGTTAGCATCCACATTCCACAGGATACATAAATACTTGATACTAGGCATGCGATCCAGAGAGGGCGTTCTGCGACGATAGGCTCTAGCTCTTTTCTGTCCCCCACGAAAACTGGCAAACCTAACTCAAATAATGGTCCCAGCCCAGGCGATACAGCCATGTCACCATGCCTTCAATCCTGCCAAGATGCAGATAAACGGAGACATGGTATGAGAAACCAGCCACAAGGAAAACAATTTATCAAGTATGCGTGTGCACGCATCAGACATTAGGTGATTATACCTCCTGAATTGGAGTGCTTTCGTTATCTTGTTTCTGCCCATCAGCCTCACCCTCCTGGTTCTGACCATCTGTATCCATCTTCTCAGCTCCCTCTGAAGCTTCAGCCATGTTTGCATCAGGCTTAGGCACTGCAAATTCAGCAGGAACTTGACCAGTGCTTAATACCTGAGCATGATGGTCCACAAAAAAGCTATCAGTACATGGTTAGAAGCCAAAGCTGCAAAAAGCATGAGAACAAAGTCATAGGACATTACCTGCTCTAGCCTTGCAGCTTCCTCAAGAGTGTGAGCATTCGCAATAGCAGCCTACAAATATACAACAGTTTTTTTTTGTCAGCAAATAAAACAAGCAGAGTTATTGGGTAAAAACTACAATGGGAACACCAAGAGAATACTGTGCAAGCTAGGAAAAGATTTGGAAACAAATTATTACCTTGATAGCCATGATTTGTTCAGGAGTTGGAGCGACTACTTTAGGACCTTGTGGCTCCATTGTGATGTCCTGAGCATCAGGCAGACAAGGAGTAAATGTTTTGGCAGGTACCTTCTTTGCCTCTTCCTCTGCCTCCTTTGAGTGAAACTTTTTCGCTGCCGCAACTCTCTCCTACAAAACAGAAAACAAATATCTCCCAAGGGAATTCAGAAACAAAAGCAACATGTGCAGACTCGATAATGGAAAACATGTCAGCCAAAGCATTCCAGCATGTTCATGCATCTAATTCATGAAAATCAAAAGTCAAAAGAGTTGCTTGTTTGTCCCTTTTGCTGCCAGCACTTCGGGTCCATCCCAAAACATATTTTGGAGCCATTCCAAAGGAAATGAACAAACAACCTGTGGGGGAATAAATCAACTAATCAAGCAGCGATGCAGGTTTTGTCTAGGCCTATGTTTTCCAAAAAAGACTCTGACAATAAATGCAGCTGAAAATAAATTAGATAAAACTACTAGTCATGTACGCACAAATGCAAACATGTAGAGAGCACGGAAAGTGTGAATAATGTAACACATGTAGCAGATGGCATCCTTGTTTAAGACAGTAACTTTGAACTTTAGAATGTTTTTTCTGGACATGGTGACAGGAAGGAGTTAGCACAATAGGTGGTGGTTTGTATTATATGTGCCCCTTTATCAAAATGGACTTTAGCTAAAACATGGTTCAGTCAGTTATAGGCCCATCAGCAAGTAAAACCACATAAGCTTGCTGATCGCGGCACTAATAATTTTAAATTCCTGTTGATACCATATATTACAAAAGTAGAACATGCAATCTTAACAATAACGAGCAGATTCTATGCAAAATACTTCAGTAGATAATTAGTGCTAACCGCTCGTCATAACCCAAAATAAGAAACATATAATCATTTGTTGTATCAGAACGGCAAACACCAAGCAACTAAGGGTTAATCTTAAAAACCATCAGTGGCAGATTCATGGATTAATAAGAAAAAATGAACTCCAGATAAGCTATTAAGCACAGATGTTGGCAGCAATGCATGAAATGTGTGGCAGATATTCATGCAAACGATAAACATTTCAACATTTTATACGCCAAAAGATATTGCTCACCTGTTGTTTCACTTTCTTGAAATCCAGTAAACGCAAATGCTTCAATTTATGGATAACATATAGCCTGTAGTCTGGCTGCTTAGTTACAGTATTATCCAGTAAGCTGAGGAATTGTAGCTTTGGAAGAGATGCCAGCGGATCAATCTCCGCAAGATTTGTCAGACGATTGTTTGTGAGCACCAGCGTATGCAGCTTTGGCAAAAACTCTGCATGGGCAAAAACCAAGAAAGAAGGTGAAGCATGGAGCAAATATGGGAGTTAGAAAACAGTGTTGGGAATACAGGAGTTCTTACCACCAAGATTGGGACTGATACGTGTGATTCTGTTATTGTTAACTAGTAGAGTGCCAAGACGATTCAAGTATGGGAAGTTTTCAAGCTTGACAATCTCATTGTCCGACAAGTCAATTGTGTCAAATTGGTCCTGTTAGAGAGAGAATGAATAGACATGGTGTTAAGAAAAGCTAGAGAGGGAACCCATAAAGCTAAATACTATTCCAAATGGGTTTTAAAATATATTATTCCAGTTCAACCAGTTCAAACAGCACAGTATCAAGTCATTGATATGCCAATAAATGAAATCACCGAGATGTGGACCAGCCAGACCAAAACAAATTGGATTGGGCACTATATTAACACAGAAATTACACAGGCCCTTTAGACCCCTCAAATGAAACGAAAATCAAAACAGATCCAGAACTATTAGACAACCTCTCACTTTAACAATTCCATGGAACAAAACAGGTACGCATATACATATACATAACATAAAAGATGTCTGGCACAGTAAATAGAACACCAAAATTACAAATAGCAATTCCTATGGTACAGGAGGCATCTACGTTCACCACTAAAACATAGACCACCAGTCCTACCCTACCATACTAGTACAAATGTATGAGACCCTTCACCCCCTAAGCTGGTTGAGCAGAGCATTGGGATTGATTGTCCGAAACAGTATCTCAATACAGAAAATACAGCTCCCTTTGGTTTACCCACCAATTAAATGTTCACAGTTTATATTAAAAAAAATGCATGCATCCACTAGGTCAAAACATTTACCACCCAATATTCACTTCAAGAGAAGTGAAATCCGTTTACTTGGAGGCTCCCAGTTTTTACAAACTACCGTGAAAACAAAAGTGAGTGGAAGTGGCTGTGACAGCCTGACAATACCATACTAACACTACTGTAGTGTAGTAACTAACATTGCTGTAGCAACTTCAAAGGGAATCGAACCACACCCCTGCCAAGCACATAGACTACAAAGCAGCGTGCATCGTGCGCCTAACAATCTCGCATGTTATTTGCCAGTATAGACATGCGTAAAGGAAGTATGAGAAGCAAGGAAGAAGACGGCGGAGCTCACCTCGGTGCCTCCGAGATTCTCGATGACGGCGATCTTGTTGCCTGCAGCGAAGTAGGAGGAGGAGGAGCAAGGGTTGTGAGCTTTCGAAGAGCAGAACACAGAACCCTAGATCTAACTGGCGGGGGAGGGAGGGAGAGAGTGGGCAAACCTCGGAGGTCGAGCTCGCGCTCCTTGATGGCGTTGAAGAAGTGCGGGCTCTTCCATATCAGGTCGGCGGTGAGCCTGACCATGGCGACTGGGAGAAGGCGGCGGCAATGGCGGCTGCCGCGGGATGTTGGGAGACACACGGGGTCTGGGAAGATGGGGAGGGAGTCGGCGAGGCCGAGGTACGATACGAAAAAAAACCTAGTGGCGGGGGCGGCGCGATTGCGATCAGTGTGGGGTGGGCAGTCTCCAGTCGGTCTCGGTCCCGAACGTTATCGTTGGGCTTGATTTTGGTTTGGACCCAAACTCGACGACCCAAAGCTCTTTTCCTTCTCTTTTTTCCCCTCCTTATTATATTCTCTTTCCGTCCTATATATATACTAACTCAGAAGAAAACTCATGTTTCCCAATTCTAATATTTTTCAAGTGAAAGATACGGATTTGTCAATCCAAAATCATTATTAATATATTATATGTTGAGCAATTCCAAAAGATTAGCTAAAAATTGATTTCTATATCCATGATTTAGCCATTCTCTAATATAAAATCTCCTAAAAAACATGGGTTCTCCAACAACCTTCGTAAAATTTCTATTTTCATATTCAAAACTTTTCTATTTTCATATTCAAAACTCGCCAAGCCACTTGTCCAGCTGTTTTTGTTTCAGATCCAAACTCGCCCTCCATGTTTTTGTTTCGTAATATCTGCTGTAGTCTATTTTATGTCGCAAACTGTTTAAATTGTATTCAAGTTAGAAATAGCATCTCTATGGGAGTTGCTCTAAATACAGTTTACTCTTGGGTCATTCTAAATCTTTAGAGAAAAAACATGGCATGTGTCGATAGAATATCGTCAGCAGTCCTCCGAGGGGTATCCCACGAAGGTAGATTGATCGGCAGAGATGCGTGTAATCGAGAACAAGAAGGCAACAGAGACACACGAGTTAGACAGGTTCAGGTCGTCAGTACGACGTAATACCCTACTCATGTGGTCTGTTGGATTGTATTGGCTATCGTATGATATTGTGTAAGTTTGGAGGGGGTCCCTGCTCGCCTTATATAGTCCGAGGAGGCAATGTTACAAGTCGGTTAGATCTAGGAGATAACCGGAAAGTAATAATAGATTACAGGAATCATGGGATCATACGTATCCTAACAGATCTCGTAATATCTTCAAGATATCTTCCCGATGTCTTACGGGAGACGCCGAGCAGCGTCGTGCCTCGCAAGGCTTCGTCTTGTGGGCTGGGCCACCCCTGGGGGCACAGCCCATGTGGTATGCCGTGGGTATCCGGGGTCGTACCCCCACAGCTAGTCCCCGAGCGCCTTGTATCCGTTGTGTAACGTCGTCTTGAGCTTGTCCGAGCAGGTGCGAACAAAGCCGAGCAGTCAAACTCATGTCCCGACCACCGTGATGAGTTGCCGAGCAGTTGTGAGCCGTCGCCGAGCAGCGTGAACTATCACCGAGCAGCGTAACCCAAGTACGGCTTGCCATAAGGGTGTAAGGAGCTCTAGTTCAAAATCAAAAATTTTCTCGCAGTGGACCAAGTGTGCCCACTTAGAGTCCGACCACGAGAAAGGGAGATAGTCTTCTTCAACTTCAAGAGGAGCAGAGTCTTCCAGATTAAAGCAAACACACTCACCGCAAAGTGAAGTATGCTCACTTAGTTCTCGAGCCTAACAGTAGCTGGCGTGGTCACGTGGTGTTAGGGTCCAAAGTAGAAGAAAAGTAGAAGATCAACCGAGCGAGCAGCCAGTCTCCGGGTGTAGCCTCGAGATGAGGAAAGCACATTCACCGTAAGGTGAAGTGTGCCCACTTAGTCCCCGAGCCTGACAGTAGGTGACGTGGTCACGTAGTGTCAGGGTCAGAAACAGTAGTCAGCAGAAGAAAGTCCCCAGTGCGGTGAGGAACCAGGTCATAGTGCTGACGCAGTCCCCGAGCCACAAGAGGAAATCTTGAAGAAAACAAACCCTGGAGAAAAAAACCGGAGTAATGGTTGTACAGTAGTAATTACTGAGCCGTAACAGATGGTGGAGAAGTCGGCGAATATTCGGTGAGCAGTAACAAATTACAGCGATAAATGGGCGATACGGGCTACAGTTGCGCGAAAGCCCAGTTAACGGCCCACCACGCTGTTGCGGAGAATTCGGAGTGGCGCAAATCGTGGGAGCGGTTTCCTAAAACCCTCGAATGCGAAAGGTGGGGGGAGTGCTTTATAACTGCGCCGCCACACCCCGCGCTCCCACCTTTGCCATTTTGTCGTTTCATCTTCCTCCTCAGCCCTCGCACTTCCGGATTCACACGTGCTCCCGCCGCCAATCCCAAAATAGATCTGAGAGATGTCGCCGAAGAAGAGAGCTGGAAACCCGAAGAAGGCGACCACCGGAGCCAGCCGCGACAACGAGTGGGTGTCGTCGGTCATGGGGGAGGCAGAGATCAACAGGATGGTGGAAGCGAGCATTCTCCCATACCGTGTCACCGCCGGATGGCGGCCAGCCAGCGGTGAGCCCTTTCCAATGCCCCATACCGACGAAGCCGTAGTTTTTGCGGATTATTTCTGGCGCGGGTTAGGTTTTCCCGTTCATCCTTTCTTGAGGGATCTGCTAGAGTTCTGGGTCATTAGTCTGTGCAACCTCCACTCGAACACCATCTTGCATATCTCCATCTTCATCCATTTCTGTGAGGCATATCTCAGAGTTCTTTCCCACTTCAACCTCTTTCGTCATCTATTCTGGCTGAAGAAGAAGGGTGGCAGTGGTTCGAAGGTGGTCGGCGACGTGTATCTTCAACTTCACGATGGGATAGCGGGCGAGTACATCACTATACTGCTGAACACCTCGCTAAAAGGGTGGAACGCCAGGTGGTTCTACATGAAGCAGAGCCATCCCACCATCCGCTGCGACGTCGACCATGTTTTGGAGAACCAGAGGAGCTGGTCGGAGAAGCCGAGCAGTGCCGACATAGAGCAGGTGAGGGAGCTCCTTGACCTGATAAAGGGCGTGAAAATTAACGGTGGATTGGTGGCGGCGAGCTTCATAGTGCGCCGCGTCCAGCCCTATAAGGAGAGGGCCCACGCGGGCTATGACTTCAAGGGTGACAACGACGGTACCCGGGAGAGCACGGGGAGGCTGACGAAGGATGAAGTGCTAGAGCGGGCTGCAGAGCTGTTCGCTCCAAATGCCTCGTTCAGCATGTCAAATCAGACGAGGGCCTTCAATTGTACGAACCCGCCTCCTCAGGTAAACATCCCAATTATTTTGTCACTGGTTCTTTTTATCCTTTACCGTTGCCGAGCAGTGAATTGATGCACTTATGGAAAGATCCATTCGCAGGAACGAGCAGTGTACTTCTCAGGTATAACGAGGGGTGATTGGCCGTAGGCGGTAGATGCTCGGCCACCAGCTCCGCTTGAGGAGGATGCCGTCAGCGCGTCGTCGGAATCCAAAGGCACTGACGCTGGTCGGACGGAGAGTACCCCTCCCCCCTATGTTGGAGAAAGTCCGGGGAAAGAGGGCAACGACAGATGAGCCGCCCTGGAAGAAGAGGAACACAGCAGGTGTTGTTCCCCGCAAGTCGGACGGCATCTCGCTTGGCGGTAACCAGACCACTCAGACGCGGAGTACGGTGATGTTCGAGTGGTCGGATGACGACGAGGCTCCAGTAGCTCCTCCTCCGAGCATTGAAGCGGCTCCACGCAACACGCGCATGGAGGAGCGATCGAAGGGAGGGGAGGGAGTCCTCGAGCAGCCGGTGAAGGGAGTCCCTGAACAGCAGGAGAAGGGAGTCCCCGAGCAGCAGGCGAGGAGAGTCCCGGAGCGGCAGGCGAAGGAGAGGCCAACGGCGGAGACCATGAGACCTCTATCCTAGGGCATAGGAGTCGACCCTAGGGCCATGCCTAGGGGCTTGGGTAGGCAGCGTCGGTTTAGAAAAGTATACCGGCAAGCCGAAACGTAAGTATCATTGTCTTGGAGTTAATTTGATATCAGATCCTTATCGCGGTAGCGATCGATGAACTAATCTGATGCAGAGCGAGGCGCATGGAGGAGTTGAACCCATCCATCCAGACCGGTGAGCAGCCGAGGACTGGTCCCGGCGCTGAGGCGACACCAGCAGATCCTGTCCTGGAGTCCCCGGGTGCTTGGCAGCCTACGGAGGAGTCAACCGCCCCTGCTGGTGGACTTGGCAGCGGTGAAAGGTTGGCGCCAACGGCGGACGAGTTGGTGGCAGTGCCTAGGGCAACGGCGGAAGCCGTCGGGTCCTCAGGAGTGGAGGCCGGAGTTCGGAGCGGAGGAGCCTGTGGTGCTAGGGGAGCAGACGATGCTCCCTGAAGTGTCAGAGGGCGTGGTCGGACATTCTGTCTAGCCACCGAGCCCCCAGGTGGTGCCTCCAGCTACAGAGGAGGACGAAGTGGAAGAGATTGAACGTGAGGGATCATGACCTCAAGCTGTCTGAATCCTCCGCAAGCGGGGCGATGAAGTGGTTGTTGTTGAAGAGGAGGACACCACCAAGGAGCTCAGGAGATTTGGAGTCCGCACTTGCCACAGTGATGAAGCAGATCAAGGTCAGTACTGCATCTACAATGCTCATCTTTGACATTGGAGATCGGAGTTCTTCATAGTATTGGTGCGTTTGCAGGGGATAGCTCGGACTGCCGAGCAACGGCGCCAGCTGATCAAGAGGATGGAGCCCCTCGTCGAAGAAAACAAAAAGCTGAAGGAGGCGATGAAACTCATAAAGAAAAACGTCCACAGGGCCCAACGCGAGCGGGATCTTGCTGAATCCAACGCGTGGGATCTGGAATACCAGAAGGGTGTCCTATCCGAGCAGCGGGCAACCGCGTTCGAGCAGCTACGGGGCAAGTCTGAGCAACTAGAACGTAGCTCTAAGCAGGTGATGAGTCTTTCCGCGCAGCTGGAGCGGAAGTCCAAGCAGCTCAGGATCGTCCCTAAGCAGAGAAAATGTATGACGTATCGGTGATTTTGCTTTGCATTGTTGAACAATCATATTGTTGCTGACGACGGTTATACTTGTAGAGCAAGATGCAGAGCTCGGCTAGCTGCGCCAAACTATTGGGAAACTCTAGGAG